TTTAGGTGATGTTTCAAAGTATCACCATCCTGCTGCACATTACCACCCTCCAATCCTATTTATCACTCAGTAGCTCAAGGAAATAATAATAATAATAATAATAAGGCACCAAGCATAGAGAATATAGTGAGTGGAAATAGTCCTTGGCTCTTGCGTACAAGGGGAAGTACAGAAATTCTCAGAGTTCTGTTCCCTAAGTTTATTCCTTATAGCTCTACTTGGTAACTGGAGTTGAAACTTGTAACCATACCTAAGTCAATGCCCAGAGTGGCCTTCTCTAACCTCTCTGGTACGTATGGAGGCCAAGGATGTCTCCTTTTCTTAGAAATTCACAGCCGTGACCCTTCATTTGACTCTGGGACATCCTGGCCCATAGAAAAGAAAAATAAGTAGCCATTCTCTTCTTATTCCTCTACAAACAGAAGTACTTCAGGGATTTTCTTTTTCAAACTATACATAGTAGAAATGCCAAACTCTAGCTATGGTAAAATTTAACCATAAAGTTTGCTTGCCTAACTTCATTTTTGACTTGGACTTTACATGCTGTTGCTAATGCAGATAGTTATCTTCAGGAGTGTCATGCGGTTTCAACATTTGGGCCAGTTCCTGAGAAGCTGAGCATCTGGAAATGATACCTAAACACATTGGCATGTTGGAAATTGTCATCCCTAAAAATAGGTGTACATTCCACGGAGATAGACAGTGTGTGTCTTTGTGACAGCCCATCAGCACATCAAGGGATGATACACTGAGCTAAATTTGACTTTACTTCACTTTAAATTCTCATCTAAAAGAGATCTGCCATTTTCCTCATGTTAAAATAAATCACAGATTTACTATTTTGTTTGTGGCTGTGACTTGTTAATTAAATCACAATGTGGTTATGTTTATTAAGTTACAAATTATACCTTTTGGGGGAAGAACAAGTTCTGAAGTGGAACATGTTTACTTGATGTTTTCCCTCCCATCTGCCTTAAGGGGAGATATAATTAAATGTAACAAAGCAAGAGGCAAGTGAATGCAAGGAGAAACATTGTGAGAAAATTTCTTCCAGCTGAATAAAGCTGTAAAGTTCTCAAGGCAGACAAATTGCTAAAGATGAAAAGCTAACTTGAATCTAAAGCAAGATTCAAAACGAGGAGATATTACATTTCAACCTCTTTTCTTGGACTTTCAAAATTGTCTACACCATAGCGAAAAGCTAAGAGCATTGCATTGTTTCTTCCTAACCTACCCAGCCATCTTTCCGCCGCACTCCCAAGAGCTCCCAGATTTTGTATCTGAGCAAATGGTGAAATAGTATCCAGCTCCTTTGAGGGATGCAGGTAATGGTAAATGTGTAGTATTCCAGACCTGTGCTGTCCCATCTGGTAACCAGTGGCCACATATATCTATTTAAGATGTTAAATTTACGAATTTATAATTAAAATCCAATAAAATTAAGAATTGAGCTCCTCACTAGTCTCTTTTCAAGTGCTCACTAGTCACTAACTACTCTAGCTACTGACTACCATATTGGATGGCATAGATATTAAACATTTCCGTCATCAGAGAATGTCCCACTGGACAAGACTGCACTAGTTGTGCATAAGATTGAAGTGTATCTCTTTTTATGGGCTTCTGTGAAGCAGTCTCCAGTAGGAGTGTATGTGGTGATGGAAATGTTCCATTGCTGCCATTAGCCACAACAAAAAGGAGACACAATAGCAAGAAATTGTCCCTGAGGTTCAGACTCTGAGTAGGGCAAAAAATACCACCTTTGTGATATGACTTAACACATATTAATATTGTTATACCCAGATCGCGATATCCTCAATGACCAGACACCAACGGGGAGACCGAGTCACGCATGCAAAGGCAAAGGGCTTTATTACGGGCTCGAGCTCGGGCTCACAGATTTTACCAGCGTGGTGGATCCGTGCTGTGAGCCCCGAACAAAGGCAGAGTAGGGTTTTTATGGGGTTTGTGACGGGGGAGTGACAGAAGTTGTGGCATGGAAACAGTGATCCAATCATAATTATACAAATACCATTGACAGCGGGTTTAACAATACACATTGTCTAGAGTATTTGTTACTTTTGGCGAGACCCAATTACAACATCTAGAGTACTTTTAAATTTAACCTATTACAGAGCGAGCCTAGGGTCTTGTTCGGCGCCTAATGGGTTAACTTTAACATTAGGTAATAGAGTTTTATCTATAGTTGCTGGCCTTTCTTGATTGGGCGTTGCCAAGGTAGTGTGGTGGAGTGAAGTGGTGGGCAGTTTCTTAAGCCTTGGGCAATGTGTAGCTGCCTGATAGTTTCAGGGAAACTGAAACTTAGGCCTTCTAGTTTAGAGGGGAAACTTAAAGCCCGTTATGGAGTCAGTCTGGTTTAGACTGGTGTCCTTACAACATACTCTTTTAAAATATGTCTCCTCTTGCCTGCCTACACAGTGTCTAAAAATTTCCAGTTTTAGCCAATTTTATACATTAAGACAATAAAAGTCGTATTAGCTAGGTTATATAGAAATGATAATCCGTCCCAACCGTTAACACTTTCACACCAGATAGAACTTTCTGTGATGATGAAATGAGACCACTGAGCATGTAAAAGGTGGCTAATGTGACTAAGAAACTGAATTCTCAATTTTATGTGACTTTAATTCATTTCAGTTTAGTGCATGTCAATTCAAGTAGCAGGATGGCTCCTTGCTATCATATTAAAAATTTTTTAATGTTTTTTAAAATTTATTTCTGAGGGAGAGAGAGAGACAGGGAGAAAGAGATAGCATGAGCAGGGGAGGGCCAGAGAGAGAGGAAGACACAGAATCCGAAACAGGCTCCAGGCTCTGAGCTAGCTGTCAGCACAGAGCCTGACGCGGGACTCAAACCCACGAACTGTGAGATCATTACCTGAGCTGAAGTTGGACGCTTAACTGACTGAGCCACCCAGGAACCCCACCTTGCTCCCATATTAGACAGCACAGGTCTATAGGGAAGAGTTGAAGAAAGTACCAGGCAGGTTAGATAATGTGGTAGGCAGAACTAAAGATGGCCTCCCTCGGGCGCCTGGGTGCCATCAGTTGAGCATCTGACTCTTGACTTCTGCTTAAGTCATGAACTCATGGTTTGTGAGATGGAGATTCATGTCGGGCTCTGCGCTGTCAGTGCTTGGAATTCTCTCTGCCCCTCCCCTGCTAGTGCTTTTCTCTCTCTCTTTCTCTCTCTCTCTCTCAAAATAAATAGATAAACTTAAAAAAAAAGATGTCCCCTGATGCACACAAACACTATATAATCCTTCACCCTGAAAGAAGGCTAGATGTGAGAATGTGAGAATGCGTGGGATTTACTCTCATGGCTGAGTTAGTATTCAGTTAACTCTGAGTTAATCAAATGATATATTATCCTGGATGGGCCTGACCTACCCAGGTGAGTCCCTACAAGGGACCGTGTTCTTAGAGAGAGAGATTGGAGCATGAGAGAGGTGTAAGAAGCAAACTGCCATGTTTATAGGGAGGACCACGTGGCAAGGAAGAGTAGGAGACCTCTAAGAGCTGAAAGTAGTCCCCAGCCAGCAGCCACAAGGAAAAAGGGCCTCTGTCTCCAGTTGAAAGAAACTGAATTCTGCCACCAGCCTGAACAAGCTTGGAGGAGAACCCTGAGCCTCAAATGAAACCGCAGCCCTGTCAACACCGTGACTGCTGCCTGGGAGACTCCGGACAGAGACGAAGTTAAACCGGGCCTGGACTCCTAACCCACAGAAACTGCTAGAAAAACATTTATGTGGGTTTAAGGCACAACATCTGTGGTACTTGTTATGCAGCAACAGAAAATGAATACAGAGAATGTATGCTTACTTAGCCTGTTTAAGGGAACAGGCTTTTGAAAACTTTCAGCAGCATGCATCAGTTAATCAGATAAAGTTTGCTAGTATTAACTGTTCCTTAAAGTGGATATTAAAGTAGTTCTTTGGCAAATTTTGTCGGCCAGACTTTTGTGAATTAGAGGAGGAGGATTTGATGGGAAAAGAAAAACTCCATGACAATGATGTTACTGGCAGTAGGTGATGACAGTAATAATGTTCAAAGCATTGATGGCGGTGACACTGATGATAAATAATTAGTGTGACCATCGAGATTATAGCCTATATTTATTTCCATGGGTAACAGAGAGCCAAGAAAATGTTCTTGTCATCAGTAAAGGAAATATCATTTTCGAGTCAGACACTTGTTTTATTCACTAGGTAATAATCAATATGTAAAACCCATGATCTGATTTCAAAACATCGGATGATGAAGTTTTGAACCCAAACAAAGTGGAACCATTTTCACAGCAATTCATATTTGAAAATAATTGCAAATTAACATTTATCTTTTTCCTTTAAAAAGCCTATTTCTAACTAACTTCTTGGCTTGGGGAACTAAAAGCACTCAGATAACCTTATCTCTAACCTCAAATAGAAGGAGTTATAAGGCTTCAAAAAATTTTGACCTCTGTGTTTAGTTTATTCATCTTATAAAATTAAATTCTGCATCTGAATCAAAATACATAAAAAGATTTTCTCTGTATGAATATATTTCATTGTATGTGGGCTACGTTGACCCAATACAAGCTGAAGATCATATATTCCTACACCACAGAAACATAGTCTCGCCTTATAATAAACCAGAAGTAGAATACAATGTTCTTTTACATGATAACAGAAAGGTAAAATGTAGGTCAGACATTCAGAGAAATGAAAAAGGAAAACACATTTCATCACTCTATTCAAAAGAACTAAGTGTACCGGGTCAGTCCCAGTTCTTGGCAACAGAATGATGGTGTGCTGATGATAAACACTACGGCAGACCAGGCTACTAGCAATCAGAATATCATGATGCTAACCAGATTAGGTCAATAAAGCTCTACCTGCCTTAAAAGTGATGTGCATAGACCAGACAATTTCCTGAGGTCCTGAGCTCTCTCATTTAAATCCTTGTCACTCAGAACCCTGAACTTCCATGGGTGTTGATACTTACCAAGATTCTTCCTATAAAAGACCCGTTGAAGTGTGGATAACATTTAGGAGTTTTCCTTCAACCTGATGCATACTTCAAGCAGAGACGCTCTGTTGTTCTAACCCTAAACTGGTGAAAAAACTGTTCTGTCCTTTTCGTTCTTGTTATCCCAGAGACAATACCTCTAGCTAGATGGAATTGCCTCACATGCAGCGGAAAAGCATCAACTCTGTGTCACAATGCACTGTGTTAGACAAATGATCTCTGCTTTTGGACAGCTGTCTATTTCCCCATCAGCAAAGGGGCGGAGCCCTGTACCCAACAAAGAAAGTTCCTGTCTGGAGTCATGGTGTATTATGGTTATACCTGAGGGAATGAGAAAAGCAGGGGAGGGCAGAGGCATCATCTTCCTCCATGACTCAAAGCCAGTCTCTTTTTTCTCCAAAAAATATTTATCAAGGACCTAGCCTGTAAAGACATTAAGGTAGAGATGCTGGAGATACGTGGTGCCAAAGCACTGTCAGAATACGTTCTAGAGATCTGCTGTTTGACAGCGCTTATAGTTAACAATATTGTACTGTAAAATTAAAGTTTGTTAAGAGGGTGGAACTCATGTTATCTGTTCTTGCCACATTAATAAAAAGGATATATCCTATATTCGTCACCCTAGTAACTATGTATGAACAAATGAAGCAATCAATACTTTCTGGTAAGTTAAAAAAGGAAAGAAGGACAGCATCAACTTTGCCCCACATGGTGGCTCGTAGGGCCATCAGGGAACCAAACATGAACCCATAAGCCCACACAAATACTTGATTAGAAATGTGACAAGGGTTATAATAATACACAAAACCTACCTTAGATTAGGGAGAGCTTCTGTGAACATTCACAGAGATGCCGACATTTGGGCTGGGGATGAGCATGTACAGAGAGATGCTCTTTGGTTGGGATGGAACGTTCTAAGTAGAGGGAAGAAGGAAAGAGTATGGGATGAGGCCTGAAGCAGGAATAAGCCTCACATTTGAGGAAGTAAAGGGCTGGTGTGGTGAGGAAACAGCAGACAAGGAGGCAGAGAAGAGGCCGGAGAATGAGCCGGGACCAGATCATGCAGGAACTTACAGGCCACTTAAGGAGTCTGAATTTTTCCTGAGGGCAATCGATTAAAGTGTTCTAAACAGATGAGGTTCATAATTCAATTTATATTTTGAAACAAAGTTTTGGGGGAGATATTTATGAAGGTAGTAGGGCTCATTAATCCTAAATTATCTTGCTAGTTTAAAAAGCTTCGTAGCAATATATTCTCTAAGCTCATTCGGTTGTCATTACACAGGTTTCTGACTCCACGAAATGAGATTGCATGGCAACCGAAGTAAGGACTCACATTTCATTACCTTCTCCTCAGCGTAGGCCTTCGCCATGCATTAGCTGGTCAGGGCTTCCTCAAAGCAGCACGACTGACATTTGGGGCTGGACAATTCTTTACTGAGGAGACCGCCATGTGCATTTTAGCATGCAACATTTAGCAGCATCTCTGGCCTCCGCATACTAGGCGCCAGCAGTACACCATTCCCCCAGCCCACTCCCAGTAGTGACAATTAAAAATGCCTCAAGATTTTGCCAAGTGTCCCCTACAAACCCCTGTTTGCAAGAGCTGAGTTAGCTGTAATCGGTGAGGCAGTATTACTGTCTTCACATACATGATTTCTACAAGAACCAGCACCTGAAAAGAACCCCAAAGGCCATCCCAGAAATTACCTCACCTATTCCCACAAACACATAGCAGAGTTAATTTCCCATCCTTGTCAAAATCACCTTGATATTCTCTGCACCTAAAATCTACAGCTCAGGGACATCCTTCACATTCAGGGGAAGCATGGATTTGGTGAGGCCATTTACCTTTGTGCAGAGCAGAGCTATTTTTCTATGCCCCTAAGACCCTGCAGAGAACCCGGCCACTATCAACTGACTTATTTCCTTCTCTACATGCTCCAGAACTTTCTACCTGACACCTTCATTTCAGAGGATTCGATATCTGATCATCCCAGAATGTCTTATTTAGGAAGGCCTGGAGATCACTCATAAAACAGCTCACTTTCCTGGAGAAACTGGCATATAAGACAGGAGATGTGTCTGGGATCGCACCCAGTACATGTTTGCTGCTGGTAAACAAAACAAAGGAAGACCCTTTCCAAATGTTTGATTCAGCATCCTGCTATCAAACCTACCCTGTAAACAGACTGCTCTGGGTGGACTTTAGGACAGAAGATGGCATAAAATTAGAGCTATATATATTTGGAGCCACTAACATGGGATATTATATCTACAGCCTCACTAACTGCAAGAGTTTTGAAGGCTCTTTTTGCTTTTAAACTATTAGTGGCATTTGCCTTTCAGACATATGGTCGTACAATGTGGTGAGGGAACCTCTAATGCAGACGGAAGGAGCAGGCGCCTCTCCCATGGGATCTAAGGGGAAGCCATTTCCTCCTCTTACCACGATACTTGAAGCTCCTACTCTTACGTCCTGTCTCCTCAGGTCTCTGTAATAGCAACTGTGTAAGTGCGTCGAGCCAGAAGAGTTCACTGAAGTCCAAGAAAGGTCATCAGAGACTTGAGAAGCAATTTACATACTGATAAGTGCATAGATTGGGAGCCAGAGTATCAGGGCTGGAATTCTCATTCTGCCACTCTTGGTTTGGGCAATTTAATTTTCCTAAGCATCAGTGTCCCCACGTGTAGAACAAAGCTACTAACTAAGCCTGTTACTTGGTTGTTGTAGGAACAAATCAGTTCCCACATGCGAATATGAATTAACATATGTGAGAACGGTTCCTGGAACGTTGGTTGCAATCACTATGTCTGTTTTGTATTTTCATTGTCAGTTCATAAAAATCCTAGCTGTATTAACCATCTTGTATTTAGGTACATATATTTAAAAAGGGATAAATCAAAGATTAGATACATTTGGATAGAATAAAATAAATCGGCAAAAGCCTCAGACATGGAAAATTGCCCAGAGACCACAAATCAAACTGAAATAAAAATCAATTTGGAAGTATTAATATTTGAGGAGCTCCTATTATATCAATGGTCTTTATTATACATTAAGGGAAGAATAGTAAAGAAATGGAAGACCTAATTCCATTCTCCAGGGGGCTTATATACTACATAGAAAAAGGTAAACATGGATTAAAATAGATACTAACAGCACCAGGTATAAAGAAGAGCATATGAAAGAACCAACTACTACATGGCACAGACAGGAAGTGCCAGGGAGGCAAACAAGAGAGGTGGTGGCAGTTTATTGGGGTGCTACAACGGTAGCCACTGGGTGGCTCAGTTGGTTAAGCATCCGACTCTTGGTTTCGGCTCAGGTCATGACCTTGCACTTTCATGAGTCCAAGTCCTACGTTGGGCTCTACACTGGCAACATGGAACCTGATCTCTCCCTCTCTCTCTGCCCCTCCACCACTCACACTGTCTCTGTCTCTCTCAAAATAAATAAATGAACTTTAAAAATTTTTGAAACACAAATTTTGAAACTGTTGTGTTCACCAATAAGTGGCTAGTTAAACATACCATGGGGCAAACTTCCATTATAAATGATGACATGGTTTTCTTTGTTGTGAAACAGAAAGATTCCCATGGCATCTCACCGTAAGAAAATGCAGGTCATAGAATAAAATGTTTGCCATGGTCCCGCTACACAAATTGGTGTGCATGTGTGTGTACACATTCTCTACGCATACCTACGGATAAAGAAATATACCAAAGTCTGAGCAATTCTTTCTTTGGTTGGGAACTCTTTTGGGAGAACATCTACTCCTTTTTTTTTTTTTTTACTTTTATATCTACTGTTTACATTTTTTATACTAAGCACTGAAAGTCTAAGTTAGGAGAGAATTGAGGGAGAACAGGAAAGGATTGAAAGAAAATATGTTTTTCCTAATACTGACAAGGCATATTAAAGAGCTGACATGGTGTGCATTTTATTTTGTAGATCTCTCAGAATTTATTATAGAGCCACTCAATGCACTTTTTATATAATGATTAGCTTATATTATTCCATTCCTGAGTAGAATTTGGGTCAGCTCTGCATGCTCATTATTTGTGCAAGTAGCCAGGACAGGCAACTTTCACAGCATGACAAGTATTGATACCACTGATGGATGAAATGTTTTCTAAGCACTGAAATGGCACTTTAAAAGGGTAAGGGGAGACAGCCGCAGGCTTCCTGGTCACTGGAATATATATGAGCCATTCAGAGAGTAAGAGTTCCAAATGCTAGCTCTCTAATCAGAGAACACAGCTGGAGAAGAAGAAAATACTGGGAAAACACTTGAATTTCATCACCCGAATCTTGTACTTCATGCGGCAGCTCTACTGCAGAGAAAGTTTGTTGCCTGAGACACTCATAAAAAAGGCAAGGGAATGACCCAAGCAAGGTAGCTGCTCCCTTTTTGAAATGGATAACATCCCAAGTTAAAAACTGTAAAGACTTCCTATTTGGAAGAAAATGGTTCAAAACCTGAGTAGACTTAAGGTCAAAATTCCTTTCTCCTCTGCATGTTCACAGGTCAATGGCAACCAACCCAAACAAGAAGGAGGTGAAATCCTTTTATTTCTGCCTTCCACCTTGAGCCATTCTGTCCCTTCTGTCTCCACATGCAGCCCAGAGCTCTCTGGCTCTTGCCCCTTGCTTCTCAGAGAAAAACAATCCTCCATCACTAAGTAAAAGTAATCAACCAGGATGCACTGAGACAGGTGAATTTGCAACATTAACATGTTTAGCTCCATCATTCTATGCTTCCACAATAATTAAATCCTCAGGAGTTAATAAAGAAAGGCTTTGACCACATCGGGGGATATTTGAATTTCAGGTCAGCAAAGACCAGAAATTCTTAGTTCAAAAAAGAAAACAAAAAAAAAACAAAAAAAAACTTGTCCTCAGGATAAAATTTCAAGCCCTGACAACCTAGGCAGGAGAGAGAACTTGGAGACTTTCTAGAATTCTTCAGATTGCACAAAAAAAATATGCCCCCCTTTGCGCTTACCTACTCACATCTGCTATGCTTAGATCTTGTACTATCCAGAATTCTTTTGGAAAGCTCAGAGAACTCTTAAGTGGATCAGATCAGAAAACATTGACAGCCTCATGGAAAATTGCTCTCTTTTATGATTCCAATGAAATGTCTAAGCATTAAAGATGAGGTTTAAAT